AGCTACTACCCACTCACCAGTTCTCATCTTCCCACTCCCCAGCTACTGTGCGTACTACAATTGTACTACCAAGTCGCCACTTGTCATCTTCCAGCTCCCCCGCTACTCCGCGCACTACTAACGTTGTACTACAACATCGCCAGTTCTCAGCTACTCCGCGTACTAAAGTTGTACTACGCAGTCGCCAGTTCTCAGCTTCCAGCTCCACAGATTGCTCCGCGTACTCAAGTTGTACTACAAAGTCACCAGTTCTCAGCTTCCAGCTCCCCAGCAGCTCCGCGTACTACCGTTGTACTACCAAGTCGCCAGTGCTCATCTGCCAGCTCCCCAGATACTCCACGCCCTCCAGTTGTACTACCCACTCGCCAGTTCTCATCTTCCCGCTCCCCAGCTACTCCGCGCACTACTCTCGCACTACCACGTCGCCAGTTCTCCGCTTCCAGCTCCCCAGCTACTCTGCGTCCTACAGTTGCGTACCAAATCACACTCTCGCCTGTGTTTCGCGCACTCGACACGCACGATCTCCGCAGAGGGTTGCGCGGGCAGCCGGCAAATCACACTCTCGCCTGCATTTCGAGCACTCGACACGCGCGATCTCCGCAGAGGCTTGCGCGGGCAGCCGGCAAATCGCACTCTCGCGTGCATTTCGCGCACTCGACACGCACGATCTCCGCAGAGGGTTGCGCGCGGACCGGACACATCGCACTCTCGCCTGCATTTCGCGCCCTCGACACGCACGATCTCCGCAGAGGGTTGCGCGCGCACCGGACAAATCGCACTCTCGCCTGCATTTCGCGCACTCGACACGCACGATCTCCGCAGAGGGTTGCGCGGGCAGCCGGCAAATCGCACTCTCGCGTGCATTTCGCGCACTCGACACGCACGATCTCCGCAGAGGGTTGCGCGCGCAGCCGGCAAATCGCACTCTCGCCTGCATTTCGCGCACTCGACACGCACGATCTCCGCAGAGGGTTGCACTTTCGGTTGACGCTGTTCGTCCCGCACTCCGCCTTTAAGAGAGAATTTATAAAGTGGGGAAATGTTTTTTCATTAGGATATCTCCCGTGCTAGTTTTCCATACTCACACTTGCCTGCTCATTGCATGCTTGCATACGCACCTTTGCATATCATGGCATACTCACCCTTGCATATCATGCTTGCATACTTACACTTGCATACTTTGACACTGGCATACTTCGCACTTGGATGCTTTCGCTCTTCCAGTGTGTGTGTGTAAGTGTGGAAGTGTCAGTGTGTAAGTGTAAGTGTCGAAGTGTCAGTGTTCAAAGGATTTTCCGGAAGAACCCTTCGCAATGCTTTCGGGAAAAAATGAATACTTAGCCCTTGACTGGGGTAGGGAAACGAGCCTCAAGAGCCACCTAAAAAGCCTGAGAGAAAGCCCAACAAACGACGAAAAGCGCAAGAAGGAAAAAGGGGGCAGGGAGGGGGTGTATGTCCATGTGTGTGTACGTGTGTGTATCTGAATACTTAGCACTCTAGGGTTACCGACTACTTAGCAGAAACGAATTACAGTGCAATAGTTAGGGAGCGGGACTTTAGTCTTAAACCGCCCGGGTAGGGTAGACTAGAAAAGGGACAACAGAGGGAAAGGCACCGACGCACAAGTGTGTCGAGTACCATTTCCCTATGTTACCCTAATTAGGTAGGGAGTAGAACACAGTGGGGGGGGGTCGGGAGACCTGCCTCAAGTGGGGTGAATGCCGTTTTTAAGCCCGGCGGCTGTCAAATTCGTTTTTTAGCCCGACGGCTGTTGGATCAGTTAATTCAGTTATACGAGTGGAGGAAGTGGAATCATTTATCAAAAATGGAGACAATGATTTCCGGCATGGCTTCAGCGCCCCAGTAAAGGGGACCACACCCAGCACCCAAGTGGGACGGCTGGGCGGCTCACACTCTGACATTGGTTTGCTGTTAACTCAATTCCCACGATGAGAAGGAAGGTGATGGAACGCAAAGGCACATGAGTCAGCAAGAACAGTATGGTTGAACATTGTTTCCAAGTGGCCTCGAAATCGATCTGCACAGTCGATGCGGTGACGAGCACAGCTGCAGGAAAGTGGGTTTAGGGGAAGAAACGTGGAAGGACCATGAAGCAAACCAATCAAATTGGACAGCGTGGTCAACAGTTGTTCAGCAGGTACGTGGATTCTTCGTTGGACTGCCGCTGTTTAGAGTCAGGCAGTCCCCCTGCTTGTCCCGAAGGAAGGTCGCACCCTTTGGAACAGGGGTTGACACACACACACACACCTGCCCCCCCCAGAATTTTTTTTTTGGTTTTGGGGTGCTGAGAACCACATGCACGGGCTGCCTCCTTTTTGGCGGAAACAAACCAATGCACGAATAGCCGATTGTTAACCAAACAACCGCGCAGCAGAGTTCGTGAAGCGTTTCCGCAGCTCCGCAGCTCCCGCGCAGGCGAAGCCCCCGCGTCGTTCGTCGCTCAGGGACGGTAAGACGAACCGCGACGGCACGGACGAGTCAGAACACGAGACCTGAGGTCGACGATGGCCTTCATGATCGAGTGAACCCAGAAACAGGGAGACAGCAGATACACGGAAAAAAATGTTTTTTGAGGAGTTTCATGGAGTTTCAGTGTTTGTTTTTGGTCTGAGATATGACAAATCATGAAGCCAGGTATTGGCAATCGGATGAGAAGGTTGGTGGTGATGTGCTGGTGCTCAGAAAACATCACTTACATGCTGCAGTCTTTAGAACAACTCTCGTTCTGAATGATCACACACTCCTCGTACAGCGCTCAAGAAACCACAGGAGACTGGTCCTGAGGTTCAAAACATCACAGCAGAAGAGGCGTTGAACATTCCGACGCGAGTGGAGGCTGACTCTTGTGACTACTCTGGGTTGTCAGACCCCCTGGCCACAACCCACCCCACAAAGAGAAAGAACGACAAAGTAGTATAACCCAGGTTGGAGGCCGCTCTTAGGTTGGAGGTCATGTCCGGTTGGAGGCCATCCCATCCCCATCCCACCCCCCTTCAGATCTTTAGATCTCAGATCTCCAACCTCTCCGTGCTCTTGGACCTGGCCACCGGCCGCCTGTCGCCAGTGGTGGCCATGGTCCGGCGGCAAGCAGCGGCCTGAGAACATCCGGTGCCGATCTGTGGTCTGATGTAGTCCCAAAAGACTCCCACAATACGGGCACCCACAAGAGACAGTTTTCAATTTAGAAGTCATACATTTTCATACAAGGAATGTTCAATTTTGAATCATATTGACTCTAATATGTTATTATAGTCAGTCCGTTCGTCATAGATGGCCTTTAGGGAAAATTGAAGGGCTCAATGCCAATTTCTTGCGGGACACGTAGTACTGTCGACCTGAGCCCCCTTTCGACCCAGGTCAAGGCCACTGGAGATGTGCAAGCGGCGCGGTTGTTGGCGCCGGCCCTTCGCAGTGCCCAAGCCCTGTTGGACGACGTTGATGTTCTGGAGACTTCATCCAGTGATGGGCCGATTTTCTGCGTCGCCTGCGCCTTCCATTTTGTCCAATGCTGCTTTGAGTGTACGGATGACTCCTGTGCCCCCCGAGCTTCACATGAACAAAAGAAAACAAAAGACACATACCATTACATATATCTATTCAGGGTGTAGCACTAACCTTCAGCTTTGCGATTGCAGGTGCAGTGCTGAAGGTCGCTGGCGAATTTGAGGAGAATCGCCCTGCCACATCCAGGCGAAGTCCTCGCCGCACGCACGCGTGCGCACGCGTGGTGCGCGGTGAATTGCGGTGACCGCAGGAAACGGTTTGATCACCAAAGTGGTTTAAGAGCGAATTCCCAAGAACTATAGGGATGGCCTTTTGATGGCATTTTGTGTGTTTTCCACCACTTTGTTCAATATTAAGGAACAACTTGCTGAAAATAAGAGTTCTGAGACACTAGCATCGCATGTTGATGCCATTTTGATGGCCTCACATTTGAGGAACAACGTTTCCCAACCCCTTAATCACGAAAGGTAGCTTTAGGCTACCTGAGTTCTCCTTTTACTTTAACAAAACATGTTTTAGTAACCCTTTGTGACCAGGACTTGGTGATTTGCCTCTAATCCGGCGAGTTGCTTTGGCCCGAATCCAGCACTTCATATATGACACATGTGCCCCTCCATTGTGCAGCCGCTTTGCAGGTTTGTCTTCCCGACAAGCCTACAAACGCAAGGCGTTTGGAATGGAATCCAAGACTAAGACCATGGCTGGCACTGGCTGTGACGGCCATCGCGAAGACCAAGCCTTTGGTTCCTTCCCTCGGCCAGGTGCGTCGCCCGCCGGTGCGGTCCGTCGCTCGGTGCGTCGCGGTTCCGGAGGGTCGGAACTGCCCCAGCTGCGGTCGCCCACGGCGCGTGTGCCTGTGCGACGCGCTGCCGGAGGGTCCGATGGACACACGCACTCAAGTGGTGCTGTTCACACATCCCAAGGAGGTGAAGCGATCCTTGGGTACGGCTCCACTGCTGCAGCTGTGCTTGAAGAGAACCATCAAATTGGTTGGGAAGGTGTTTCCAGATCCGGAAGAGAACCCCTCATTGCATGAGCAACTTCGCCTGGGAGGGCGCCAATGTTTCCTCTTATATCCGGGTCCAACTGCGGTTCAGGTGGCAGAAATCAGCACCTCGCCTGTGCCAAAGACCTTGATACTGATCGATGCTAGGTGGGAACAATCACGCATCATGCTGAATCGCTCCGATTGGTTACAAAATCTTCCCCGCATCACGCTGGGGACGCAGCAGCAGAGTCGATACATCTGGCGACGCCAACCAGCTCCTGGCTGCATTTCGACCTTGGAAGCTGCTGCAGAAGCTCTCCACTTCCTGGAAGGTCAAGGTGCTCTAAGTGCTCCAGGTGCTCCAAGTGACATCAAATCAGCTCTCTTAGCACCCTTCGAAAAGATGGTTCAACTGCAGTGTCAGTTTACACCCGACGCGCGCGACAAGAACGCCGATCTGCAACAGCTTGGAGGTCTGGCCAACGAGAATGCGAATCCCTTGTGGAACCGACGCCGCAAGTGGAAGCGCCGACGAAGGCAAGGAACTGGTAGCTCCCTGGCACCGTGAAGCTCCGTGGCGTACAGGGTCCCCGACGAGGCGTCGTCGTTGCCGCAACGTCTCGGCCGTCCGACGAGGAGATCGAGAGAACTGGATGGAAGGGGCCAGCGCTGGCAAAGCACACGTGTTTTTGGCTTCGGTTCCGTGGTGCTTTCCTTTGGAATGATCATGATCTTCGACTCTCCCGGTCCGGGCGTCTGTGCAAGAACCGGGCTCCAGGTAGATTCTGTGAAGCATTGATGTCAAGGGACTCGTGCGAGACGGACAAAAGGTCTTTTCCTTGTTCATGGCAGTTCTCCTTTTTCACCAATGACACTAATGAGGTTTGTTGTCACTTTTGTTGTCTCCAAATCAAATCGTTGTAGGAGCACAAGTGTATTTTGTTATATTTGAGTTTTGATAAATCAGGTGTCCTTTTTGTATAAGCAAACCACTTTGTTGATCTACTGACATGACAGGGCACTTTGGAAGTATTTCCTTTGATTTCTTCTGAACTCAAACCATAGGAATCTTGCACAAGACATGGCTGAAAGACTTCAACTGTTTCCATGTCTTGAAAGAACCATCGCAGCTTGGACTGGGGACACCGTCATTCAAAAACCAACGCGTTCTGAACGTGTATATCTAGAGCATCAGCCGACCCTGAGAACAGGATGGCTGTTTTTGGGGGAGGGGCATGTTGGTGCTGTTGGGAGAGAACACGAGGTCCTTTTCACACGAGATGATGGTGAAAGACGTCTGAAGGTCCTTCGTTTCACGAACTTCCCAAAGCAGTTTCGACCACAGGGGCTCCTTTTGGGACCTTCCTTTCATCCGCGGCGCACGAACTGGGCGCACAAAAAACAACAGATGGCTCGCGTTCCGCGTAGACGGTGCGCGTTCGCCCCCCAAAAGCGCACTCGATCGTGCCATGTGCCAGGTCCATGATCTCTTCCTATGGTTCTTGGATGCCCAACGACGCCTCCCCAGGCTGTGTGCCCTTCTCAGATCTCGACCGCGTGTGGCGGGTTCCGGCGGGCTGAAGAGGGCTGAAGAGTTGTGCCATTTGAGGTGCTGTGTGGTCGCCCATGGTCCGCAGCCGAGTTGGCCATAGACAATGGGAATGGTACAGAAGTGGGTGTTGGGATGTGCTGTGTTCCAAGCTTGTGTCAACTTCTTCTAGCATTTTCCAACTTCCCAACCTTCTCAAACAACTATCAGGATGCCATTGGTGCGCCTGCGACATCACTGTCGTTGAGATCTCAATTGGGACCTCCAACATCTTCAACGTGTTGATTTGATTTGCTTCCACAGGCACTTGCGGCTCTTTGGTTTGCAATCGATGCTCGATTTGCAGCCACGGAAGACACAGCCGGAAATGCTTGTGCCATACCGAGTGTTTGCCGCGTTGGCTGAAGCGAAGTCGGAGATCTGTGACGTGATGTGACGTGTTTTCTGCACATAAGGCGCTGTCAAGGAGGTTCAGTTCTCCAGCAGGGGCCTGAAACATATGCAATCTTTAGAGTCGCAACTTCAACCAAACTCCCTCAAATCCACTTTCTGTAATACGAAATCATCATCATAATTGATTCATGATCTTTGCCTAACTATCCTCTCCCGGAGGCCAAGCATTGTGATGACTGAGAGTTTTGCTGGGCAGCCCAGAGACTTGGACCCCTGAGTTGGCGACGTCCCCCTCCCCATCGGCAGGCCACCTCGGCGGCCTCCTTTTCCTCGACGGCAGGGGACCCAAGAGGCGGCTGTGATGGCGACCCATGGAGCTTCGGATACCGCTCCTTGAGGCCGGTCCTCCCGAGTGGCTGGCGCCTCGTTTGCGCGCCGTGCGACCGCGTTGGCCGCCGGGTGCCGGTCGGGTGTGCTCTTAGGTCTCGTGTTGGTCCGCAGCGTCCCTCTGTTCAAAGCTTCCCTACTCCACCTGGCACAGATGTGGAAGGCAGTCATTCAAGTTGGTCTGAGCACGTGCTGCTTTGGCTGATGTGCATTGCTTCATTGCTTTGGTCCCAAAGGTTCTCGAGGCTTGTTTAGTGTGAAACACATGTCCAGGCTTGCTACATGCTCAAATACAAGCGGCATTGGTACACTTCCTCAGCCGAAACTCTTGGTGCTTCTTCAGCTTTCCTCAGATCGGTGGCCCAGGCACCTAAAATCCAGAAGCGAATTCCTGTCGGATTCTTAGATGGACTTGAGAGCCAAGACTGATATGCCCAGTGGCCCAGAGAGGATAGAGAAACGAAGAACCACATCCTGGCCCTCACAATCCCTTTTCCGTCCTTTTTCACATCAGTATGACCCTCCAACAACGTTGGCATCCTCTTCACAGTGCACTGCGAAGTCGGAGGCATCTCCAGCAAGCGAACGAGAGCAAAGGCTGTAGAAGTTTGTGGTTGAGAAGCGAAGTAGAAGGAGATCAACATGTTGCATGATTTGGTTCATTTTTGACATTTTTCTTTAGAGAACTGCAGATCAATTGAAAGAACGCAAGCTGACCGAAAACGCAGACTCCCGGGAGGCTTTGGGATCGTGTGGTCGCTGCGGAGAAGCGTTCGCAGGAGGCGGAATCGCAGCGTGGCCAGCGCCTGAGAGTCGTTCGCTCCAAGGCATCTCGAAGTGTCAAAGGAACTGATTTCCCGTACCCGAATTTTCGCTTCAGAGAGGGGTGTTCGCCGTTCGTGTCAGAGCTCTTTTGGAGCAACATTTTTTTGCTACAGAGAGAAGTGTTCGAGTCCCAAAATTGATGTACCCCAAAATGGCCTTCCAAAAACTAGGCCTTCATGCCATCTCGATGTTCTTGTCCGGGACCCAGTCTGCGCCGGAGCGTCTAGCTAGAGGCAGCGAGTTCGCCCGAACGAACACGACCAGTGAGGCTGCGAAAGCTATTGAGCACTGCCGTGGCCTCGAAATATGAAAACAATCCAACCAGTGCTATCTCATCCAATCAGTGCTAGATTATAAGACCACGTGCTATTTTATCCAACGCAGTTCAGAGTGTTGAGATCTTCTAATTATGCTTCTTCAGAAAGGTTCCTTCAGGTAGGTCTATGTTTCTCAATGTGTTTCTTTCAGTTTCAGCCTGAAATCGGGAGTCTGTTGCATGCCCCGAGGCCATTAAGCATATGCTTTTGTGCTCGACGATTTTCCTTGGAGCACTTTCAGATGAAAGGTGCCTCGCGCACGGTTTACGCTCGTTTAATTGAACCAAGACAGGCATTTGCAATGGGCTTGCATTTCAGTTTCAGGCTTCACACCTCTTTACTCTCCTTTGCCGGAGAAAGGCACACCTGACTGATTTACTGTTTGACTTCTGAACATCTGCAGATTTTTGCCGCAGATTTTCGTCTTTCATGGACCAGCTCTTCCTTGTCTTTGTGACTGCTTTGGCAGCCCGAAGCTTGGACGGCCGCTCGCGATGCATGTCCCGGGAGCTTCTCCCATACGTGGGCAGGTCTTGTTGATGTCACTCTTCCGTCCAGCGTGCAACCCAGAACTGAAATGTTTGGGCTTGAGTCGAGTGATGTCACCAGTCCCGGAACTTGGCACTTGCCTGGATGCTTACAAGCCCTGGCTAGGTTCGATTGCTGCTGACCAGTGGGAGCATCTTAGCGATGCTTTGGCTTTGGGCCACTCGGTTGGGCATCTTTACAAACAAAGGACCCGGCTGGGGGTGGCCTTTTTTGTGAGGCGTTGTGTGATGTTGTGTGTTTTGTTCCATGTTGGTCTTTTTGCTGCACCCGTTAGAGAACCACTTCGCCTCAGTGCAGAAGCCTCCCGGACGTGTTTGTTCGGCACCGAGGCGCACCGGATCACCCCCGACAGCTTCGACAGCTTGGTCAGGTGGGGGGGAGGGCGGTTGGACGGCATCGGTGAAGGAGTGAAACATGTCGTGGCAACGGACCTGGCAACGGACCTAGCTGATGGCTTCTGAAAAAAGGCGAATGGTATCGAATGGTTGTTGTTGTTGTTGTTTTTTTTAAACAAATTAAGTGTAATTTTTCTAATTACAGATTTGGATGTGGGGACGAAAGCAGACTTTATGTGTCTTGAGAAGATGCATGTTCGACCTTTTGTTCTTGTCTAAACCTTTGTTTGTGCTCAGTTTCCGCGATTGGCCATCCTCGGCTCTTGCATCGACCATGCAACGCCACCCCAGTTGCTTGGCTGCTCCGAAGAGAGTGAGAGAGAGAGAGAGATGTGGAACATGGAGCTGTGGAAGAGCTGTGGAAGAATTGAATAGCGATACTGGCATCCTTGGACAGAACATCTGAGGCTTGGCGGCTGCTTGTGCTTTCACGGCTCTGTTGGACAGCGTCTCAGTTCTCACGAGAATGTCATTTTTCATGTCCCAACAGTGACATACCCGCAGATTGTCTACGTGCGCGGGCTACAGAGCTATCGCCTCGCTGTCATGTTTCTTGAAGCTGGCTGCGTGGCTGACATAGACAGGGCATAGACATGCATAGACGATAGTAAATGCTTCACAACTATCGGCTCTTCTGCATGCAAGTCTTAAATGCAGGATACACTTGGCGGTTGACAGAGATCTATGCGTGCTGCCTCAGCTGTTTTTTGATGCTTTTTTGATCTTTATTCCTTTTCTCTATCTCAAAGACTTCCGCCCCATCTAAGATCACTGCGGCTTTCCCCATTGCCCTCTATTTTTGCTGCAAGTGCGTGAAGAAGGCCAGCAGTTTCCTGCGCTCCTACAGTGTTACAGCTTTTTAAAACCTGCAGAGAGCTTTTCCCTTTTTTCTAGGCCTTGAAGCTCTCCGACCAACGGGCCACCGAATGGATGTACGTGCCTTGCCCCAACGACGACCAGCGAAGCAGCCACCTGAACCCACGGGTGGAGCGTCGGAGACCTGCGGATCGTCGCCCCGAGGATCCCGTCGACCGGATCGTCGCCCCGTTCTTGACGAAGCGATTTGCAGTGATGACCTCGGTCGAGGAGTAGACTAGACGGAGTAGACGATGACTTTTACGGAAAACATGGAAATGGAAAAAACAACGATTGAACATCATATTTGTCACATTTGTGCATTTGTTCAACATTTGTTGCACCACGGCACTTTTGGGATCTTGCTGCGGATTTCTTTCCTTTGAGGCCCTTGGTGGATTGTTCGTGAAGGCCGGACAGTGGCTGGCCAATATGGCTGCTACCCCATTGGTCGCCACCTCAGATTTGATCGAACGTTCAACGTCAATGACTGTCAATGAGAATGGACGAATTATATCAAATGATATCAAATGATGACAACTTGAGCAGATTCACAAACTATCACGTACTAACATGTTCCATAGTCTTCCCCCGCATTTTCCGTCAAGCACCTTGATCGCCATTACATGCTTCCCTTCGGAATGGCACGTGTGTTAGTTGATTCAGGTGTGGACAGACCACCTGAAGAAGCTGCAGGCCAGTCAGAGTCGGGTCTCACGATGTTGACGCTGTCCGGAATCAAGTCTGCAGACTTGATGAATAACACCCACTAAGGCTAGCTACGAAGGGCTTTTGCAATCCATGTCTGGGCGGTGGCTTTTTGAATCCAGATTTTACATTAAGACTCCCAGTGGCTGGGGGTCCACACGGTCCCAGACCCGGTCGCTGTGATGCGGATCCCACCAAGGATTGTGCGCCCAAGGACACCGACCGATATGTCCAGAGTATGCTGCAGGCCATGGCCGGCCTCAGGGGCGATTGTGAGTACAGACCCAGACTGGCAAATAGAAGGCATTTCGGCATCTTTGCCGCTATACACTTTGGACACCCTTTGTACACACTTTGTACCCATTCAGAGTCGATGAAGATCGACAGGAAGATGTTCAACACCCAGTTCACCCTCATCAACTTCAAGCAATCCAGAGCCAAAACAGTTCGCTCCGTGCTAGGCAGAGTTGGGGAAGAACTTCAAGGCGCAGTGTCTTGCTTTGATGAAATGCACAGCAATGCCGAGCAGACAACGGAGATCAGAGACTGCGGACACGTCGAAGAATTCGACGACCTTCGAAGCCTGATGTCTCCTGGCATGTCTCCTGGCTCTGGTGCTATGTCTCCCGATGTTCTCTTTGTGTGGCGACCTTCACCTACCGCAACCCTCCGGATCCGGATCCGTCCGGATCCGCCGGATCCGCCACCGCCGGTGAGGAGCTCTTCGCGGAGTTTGACTTTGACCCAGTGGCCTCTGCCAGCATTGCACAGGCGCACCCTCTCGTCACTGATGTGAGCATGTACGTATTTAGACCCTGCAGGGTAGATGCGAGTGAGTGACGAGCTAGCCGCTGGTAGCCTGACTGAGTGGACGAATGGGGTGGTCTTTTGTGAATTGGATTGATTTCTCAAACGATTTCTCCGTTTTCTCTTTGATCCACACTTAACGTCACGCTGTTGTCACTTTCGTCCAGGTGCACAAGGCTGTGATGAGTCAGAGTGGACAGCAGGCCGTGACAATCGCACTCTGGTTTTGCCAAGTGAAGAAGTCGAATGTTAAAACATGTTAAAACACCATAAAACGATAGATCCATCCTGAGCTGCGAGTCGATCGCAGCTCGGCCAGAGCCGCGTTCTTGCATGTGCGACCGGCTTTCGCTGCAACGGCTGAGGTGGCCGTGAAGCTGCAGCACGAGGGTGTTGAACCGTCGGGGGACCCTGGGTGCGCGGGTCCGCGCGGGGAGGTCCATGCAAAGGCTCAAGCCCAAGCGTCCCAAGGATGATGCTACTGGACCTGGACGCCTTGAGGCGGCTGATGGAAGTGGTATGGCCCTGGTGACGAGAGCACATGGAAGTGAGTGGAAGTGGCATGGAAGTTGGGATGTCCACTTTCCTCTATGTGTTTTCCACTTCCATGTGATGTCTTCCTCGGAGTGTAAGTGGGTCATGAGCGGCGGAGTAAGTGGGACACCCTTGTCTTGTGTTTCATGCTCGTCGATGCACTCTTGAGAGCCAGTGGTAGACTGGCCAAATCTGGCGTTGCTGTGTCGCGGAGAGCCTGTCCAGGCGCGTCTTGGCTTTCAGTTGCTGGCTTGGCGGCCGAGATTGGGATGAAGTGAAGTTGCCCTGGCTTGTGTTAATTGTTCTACAAGCAGCGTGACTGTCAACACACGAACCACTTATATAACGCATTCATCGCATATCTATCTTTTCTCCAAGGGGTTAAAGTTAAATACTTCGAACTTCCATCTTCTTGACAGGAGCATCACCGAAGGTTGGATGAAGGAGATGGTCCATGAGCTGGACTTCCATCGTGAGGTGCCTCTTTTCTGACACCAGTACCGACACCGCACAACTCCGCACGAGGCCCTCACCCAGATCCCTCCGCCCCGCTCAGGTGGAGAACCTCCGAGAGGCCAGGAACGAATCGTCCGTTCGAGCGGTGTAGACGAAGACTTCGCTACGGCCCTTTCTTTTTGGGACAAAAGGACGGAGAAGAGCGGGTCGCGGAGTGGTTGAGCGGTGTGTTTTCCTGGGACAGGTCCGCCAGGGACTGACGCGTGCTGGCGTCAATGTGGTGGTGCCGAAGGAGGTTGAAGGCCGAAGGAGGTTGAGGGCGTTGGTTGCTGGTTGTGTGTTGGCCACTCTTTCTGCGAAGGAGGTTGAAGATCTTTCGACACGTGCTCTTCACGTGTTTGATGATTTGGATTGTGGAGACATTTTGTTGTCCAAATCATGCAGGTTTCGTCTCCCGCAGAGCCTTCATTATGGAATTCTGTGAGGTTGAAAGCTGAGCTCTCCAGTTGGTCTGTCGTAACTCACGAGATCCACAGAAGACACAGAGAAAACTGACATGCCTCGGGCCTCGAGTCTTCAACGGTCACCCTGAACCATTCCTGCCTGAGCTCCCAACGAAGCCAGACGCACGCGACGTCGCGGCCAGCGCGGGTGCCGCGCGCTGCCGAGGGCTTTCGCTTCACTGACTTGGATCAACTGGCTCTGTGGGGCGTCGACCGGAAGGCCTTAGGCGCCGGGATGACCCAGACTTCGCGGAGTGGGGAAACATGTGTATGACAGTGTGTATGACTGATAGGCAAATCTGCAGGCGCCTGGAGACCATGTGCGTGGTCCTAGGCGGCTCAAAACCGCTCACTCCATGACCTGTAGGTTGCCAACCTACAGCTTGAGGCATCTGGCATTCCTTGCATCACAGACTGTGAACTGTGAACTACGATACAACATCATACAACCACCAGATTAGGTTGGCTAACCTGGAGCTTTGCCAGGAACGCAATTGTTTGCAGAACCAGGTGTGAACAGCAACAACATGAAGCCAATGACTGCCAATGACATCTCAACCACCAACAATCAATGATTCAACTCCTAGGAACACAACCAACGGTAGCAGCCGACGCCAAAACCTTTCGTTTCTGATGCTTGTAGCGATTGTAGGCCATTCCATTCAACTGCGATGAACACTGGGATTTTTGGGCCTTTCTTTCTCCCCCAAACCCCCGAAGTAGATCCAAACAGTCTCTCCAAAAACCAGCCCACAGAAAAAGGAATTGCATCGTCACCCTAGACTCTTAGACACTTTCTTCAGATCATTTTACTTTTTTTCCCACTCATTCTGAAGAGGCCTCACCTAAACCCTAAACCATTCAGTTTGACCTCAGCACTGGCACCCGGGTGACCCGGGTTCCGGCGTCGTCACCACCGAGGAGCGTGCGGTCCATGCGGTGGCCTCTCAGCTCCTGGAGATCGGCGTCTTCAACTCCGATCCGCGCGGAGCTCGAGGGGAGCGGAGCGGAGTGTGAAGCGGACGTTTTGTGGGAAGTGTTGCCACAACTGAAGAGTGGTGGATGACTGCTTTAAAATATTTTAACAGAGCAAGACTCATGGCATGTTCATGTGATGAGTCATTTGCTTTTTTAACTTTGATTTATCCGTTGGTCGTTTTTTGCTGCCTTTTTTCTCAACGCTTCCGCCCTTGGGAGATGCCTTGAGCTTTTGCAGGCATGGAGGCAACCTTCTTTGCCAGATACAGGAGAACAACTCAGCGGTTTGCTCCTCAGTCCTTTCTCAGCGGTCGCACGCACCACCAGTCCCAGTCCTCGTCCTCGCGTCGCGGTCTCTCCCAGTCCTTCGAACAAACTGCACCCAAGGTCCCGGTCTTGCTGGACTTTGGAAATTGCATCCGATTACCTGAGGAGCAGCGTCCGCTCCCCGGGACTGTGGCCGTAAAACCGGACGCACCGAGCACGAGGCACCGACGGGTCAGGTCTACTTTATTGCCGTTTGCTGGTGGCGCTCTCCGATGCCAGCATGTCCAGCGTGGTGGAGGCAAAAGACATGCCAAAACCCGGACTGCCCTAGACTGCTCATGTTGGGTTCGACGGACGACATGTTCAAGCAACGAAGAAGCTGTTCACAGGCAACGAAGAAGCTTGGAATCATCACATCCCAGACAGAGGAGAATCGGAAACGCGAATCGGAGCGAGCGAGCAAGTTGACATACAACATGCATGTTGAAACTACTTTTGCAATTGATTCCAGACTTGTAAAGAGAAGAACCAGGCTCACCCTGCCAGAGATATGGAGTACATGATGCTCCTTCGCTGCAAAATCTCAATGTTGTTTTTTGTTTTTATTGTTTCCCCATCAACCATCATCAATCTGACTAGAAAGACAACAAGGCATGAAAAGTCCAGGAGATCTGGATAGATCGGGGATCCAATTTTTGTAAACCACTCTTCGTTCACGCAAACCGTGTCCAAAAGAGACCCACAGAGACTCACGTACCTTCGAGAACGCGCAATTTTAGGAAAAGTCATGAAATCTGATCTAGGCCCTAACGATGCCAATTTCGGAATCGTGGAACACTCCTGCAATTGTCTCGCATCGGCTCAGGTGGACTCCATGGATGGCCGAGGACGTTGCTCCTGTTCAGCCGCATCTCCCCACAGCCTTACGCTGGACAGATGGCAGTGAGGTTTTTCCAGAATGTTTTTGGCTTGCTACGGCGGCCTACGCTGTCGTTGATGAGAACGAAAGTTGTGTGAGCTCAGGCAGGGTATTGCACCCAGCCATTTCATCGTTTGCTGCTGAGTTGTTCGCTGTGCTTGTCGCTGTCGCTAAGTGTCCAGCCGAGGTTTGCGTGTACTCTGACTGTTTGACAGTGGTTGAACTTTAGATGACATGGTCAAGAATGATCGTGTACACCCGTCTTGGAGCCATCAGGTGTGGTGGCAGGCACTGTTTGTTATTTGGAAAGAGAGATCAGCCTGGATGCAAGAACCCTTCGTCCTGCGGTGGATTCCCTCGCATAAGAGCGACAGTGTCCCTCTTGAGGAAGTTGATCAGGACTGATATTTCTGCTCGCAATTGTTTCGTTACAAAAGACGACATTTGCAACACTGCTGATGGGCTTGATATCCAGAAGCGTTTTCCCAGCTGGATGTGGCATGCGGAGGTGCGTGAGTTTCCGTGGCAGCCTACACTTCAGCCTGATGTTCTTCAGGCTGTTTCCAGTGTTTTGGGGAATGTGATAGTGCGTCTATTTGTGATTTTTGGGGCAACCTTCAGTGGAAAGAAGGCCCTGACTTATCGGTTTCGTACATTGAGCTTGCTTTTCTATTTTGCCGACAGAGGCGAACATTGGAAAGGTGTTCAGAGCCGGACGTACCGTTGCACAAATTCAGAAGATATTGAAGCGTGCTGCAGGCATCATTTTTCTGCGATGAGCAAACGTTTATCCCGGGGTGCCATGACTCCACATGGGCCCACAAGTGTGGGAGAGCCCTTCCCAAGGGTTCGATTTGGCAAGCGCGCCCGCATTTTACAACACTGAACTCGAGAAGCTTGGCTTTCTCAGTCAAGAAGGACCAGAAGCTTACAACGTGGGCAATTGGCCCAGACGAGTGAGTGACGTGACATTAGTTTGCAGATTTGCAGATTGCTTTGTGTGTGCATATGCACGCCTGTGTACCATGGGCTGAGCGTGGTGCCGTTGTAAATTAGTTTTGTCTGCAACTCTGGCCATTGAACCTGTGTGTTCAGGGCCTTCCCACAAAACGTGGGTACGATGGATAGAACACACGGAATGAAACAATTGGCCATGAACATGCATGGAACACATGTGTGACAATCTCTCAACATGAGGAAACCAGCCAGGAGGTTTGTCTCCATGTCTTCGTCCCCGCCATCGCCCGCCTCCAAGGGTACCAAGAAAATGGGGAATTGGTGTTCCTCGGGATCATTCCTCAGCTTTCCGTCACGCATCTCCAGCCTATGCGCACACTCCACACAAACAAGAAAACACTGCTGCCGTGTACAAGAGACGGGTGAGCATGGTCCTCAAGTACATGTCAACCTTTCATTTGCACTGGTGCGGAAGGGGAGAAAATCTCCTTAGCGAGTGTTGCGCTTTGAGATTCACTCGGTTCCCTAAGAGGAAGGCAACAGTCTACCTTCATCCAAGGTGGGTGAGTACCTTCTGGGAGATGCTTGAGGAGAGAAAATGTCGTTCACCGAGCATTTGTTCCCGCCACGACGTTTGCGTCGCTTGAAGCTGGACACAGAAACCCAGGTTCCATTCAGCGCCACATGCCGTTTGTCCAAGCAATAAACTTAGTTGCTTTTGATCGCTCTTGTGGCCAGCTTCTTTACAGCTGTCCCTTACCTTGTGCTGACCTTGAGGCACCACGCTCAGCCCCTGGTACACAGGCGAGCATATGCACACACAAAGCAATCTGCAAATTAATGTCACGTCACACACTCGTCTGGGCCAATCGCCCACGTTGTAAGCTTCTGGTCCTTCCAGTCAAGAAGGAGAAAGCCAAGCTTCTCGAGTTCAGTGTTGTAAAATGCGGGCGCGCTTGCCAAATCGAACCTTTGGGAAGGGCTCTCCCACACTTGTGGGCCCATGTGGAGTCATGGCACCCCGGGATAAACGTTTGCTCATCGCAGAAAAAATGATGCCTGCAGCACGCTTCAATATCTTCTGAATTTGTGCAACGGTACGTCCGGCTCTGAACACCTTTCCAATGTTCGCCTCTGTCGGCAAAATAGAAAAGCAAACTCAATGTACGAAACCGATAAGTCAGGGCCTTCTTTCCACTGAAGGATGCCCCAAAAATCACAAATAGACGCATTATCACATCCTCCAAATCACTGGAAGCAGCCTGAAGAACATCAGGCTGAAGTGTAGGTCTTATGCGAGGGAATCCACCGCAGGACGAAGGGTTCTTGCATCCAGGCTGATCTCTCTTTCCAAATAGCAAACAGTGCCTGCCACCACACCTGATGGCTCCAAGACGGGTGTACACGATCATTCTTGACCATGTCATCTAAAGTTCAACCACTGTCAAACAGTCAGAGTGCACGCAAAATGGCTGGGTGCAATACCCTGCCTGAGCTCACACAACTTTCGTTCTCATCAACGACAGCGTAGGCCGCCGTAGCAAGCCAAAAACATTCTGGAAAAACCACACTGCCATCTGTCCAGCGTAAGGCTGTGGGGAGATGCGGCTGAACAGGAGCAACGTCCTCGGCCATCCATGGAATCCACCTGAGCAGATGCGAGACAATTGCAGGATGTTGCATGGCTCTAAGCTACTATAGCTAGAAGCTACTAGTAAGTCTTTGAAGCTACTAGGAGCAAGGACGCTACTAGTAAGTCTTTGATGGTCCTTGAAACTTCTAGTAACAAGAAGCTACTAGTAGCATCTAGTAGAATCTAGTAGCTAGAAGCTTCCTTGGGAATCGTTTCACCTGTAGTAATTAACGAGAATCTTGCATGACTCTACGACTTCCTCGTGCCGCTGAGGATGGTCTTCCGCGACACGGGCAGCCGGAAGAGTCAGCACTCTTCTCAGACTGAAAGAGATGACGTGAGTGGTCTCAACAGCTGAGACGACACGAGGAATTCCAAACAGCCTGCGATGATGGGTTTTCTTCTTTTGAAATCCAATATGTCTAGATGGAACTTTGGAACTTCTAAAAGAACAGGAGGAAGCATTCCAGAGTGTATCAGAGTGTCATGCCTGTCATGCCATGCAAAACATACAAAATCACGCAGACTAAATACCTTTGAGATATCTTTTCTTGGGTCTTTTCTTATAGTATCTTATCGTGTTTTTACTCGGACAACACAGGGGAATTCACCAACCTCATCCCGGTCTCCCCGCCAACCTCACCGAGACTTCCTCCAGGATCGCCAGCCTGAAGAGCTTCCGAGAGCTGCGGAAGTCGCAGCGCTCCTCCGACATGGAGGCCGCTGCGCGAGCTGCTCGCGGAGCGTCTGCGCAGGGAGTGTGGCGTATGGAGACCTCGGTTTTTTGGGCTGCCGCGTGGGGCAAAGCAACACGGGACATCCAAGGACACGGATGGACACGTTGCGACAGCAAGGAGCTTTTTCAGAGAGTTGGGACAGTGATTGGCTAGTGCCTTTTGTTGTCCTTTTTTGCCAGTCATCGTGAACATGCAGGAGAATCCGTGATGTGTAGAGTTGGGGATATGACATGGATAAAGATAAAGGGCCCACAAGGGTCGACCCTTTTGTAATACAAAGGTTGGAGATGTTGGGGTGCGACAGTCAATGTTGATGCTACAGTGGTTGCTTGTGAGTTCATTTCTGCATGTGCCAAGTGCCAAGAATATGATTCATGATTCTCTACAGACTTTTAGAAAAGACTTCTGATTCTTCGTGGACACCAGCAGCTACCCCGATGTACCCTTCGACACTGGACAATGGCCTTTGGGAAGACGGTTTTCTGCGACAAACGATGGTGGTTTCCGATCCGGAGTGCACCTCTTGAAAGAACTTACTTCCCAGCAACTGCAACGACCCGGCTGAAGGAAGGAAGGAAGGAAGGAAGGAAGGAAGGAAGGAAGCTGACGGTACCTTCTGGTCATGCACATCAAGCTCATGGCGCTCATGGCTGGACCATGTATGGATGGATGGATGCAGACGCTGAAGGTCGTGCAGCGCAAGGATGTTGCATTCAATTTTTTAAATATCCCTCCTCCTCCTGCATTGCGTGTCTCTATGTATGGTTGCGTATTTGTGAATAGGCAGGCCCACGCCTGCGGTGAATGTTCCAGCTTGAGCTTTACGTCCATGAAGCCCGCGCTGGGTGAAGCCTGCAATTGGCAATGGTGTACGTCACAATCTGGTGTGGGCATCCATTCCTGCGAGCCTCGCAGGATGACAAAGCTAAAGATGCTAAAGGAACCAGGAAAATTGGGTGTGGGTCAGGCATTGAACTACATGGTAGAACAAGTCTCTTTTCTGAAGCAAGCATATCAGTGAACTTGCACTGCACTTGTGTTGAGTTGTGCACAACCCCGGCGGTTTTTCACCAGTCGCCACCTTGACCCGTTCGACTTGAGTCGCTACAGCCCTGAACTTCCATCTCAGTCCGCACTTTCTGAGCCCTCAAATGGCGTTCTGAACTCTCGGTTGCTTTGGATCACCCTCCATATTCAGAAGCCAGTCCTCTAAGGTTCAACATAGAAAAAGACACAGCAAAGAAGAGGGTAATAAAATTGAAGCACTGTTTGCCAAAGGTGAGCCGATAAAGGTTTAATTTCACTACCATTTTAACGAGTTTTAACGTGACGCACGTTGAAACAGGTGTTCAACAGCCATGTCAGGTGTCCCAGCCAATCGGAGGTACTCTTTGAGATCCGGTCGACCAACCACCCCAATCCTAGTAGTAACAAGTGCATCGCTACTAGTAACAAGTGCCACGCTACTAGGAACAAGTGCCTTACTGGTAGTAACAATGTTCGCTACTGTAGGAATCACGTCCGGCCACTCGAACTGCAGCCGACGTCGCACCGCGCAAAAAAGGGTCGGTGGTTTCTTCGGTTCGTCGAACGTCCGGTGGACCGGTGATCCCTTTCGCTTGGTGGTCCCCGCCATCACATGTGGATGACCCGCCCTTCAAGTCGTCGATGACCCGCAGGCCTTGGATGAAGAGACCAAGAAAGACAAGAAGAAAGCAAAAGTGTTTGGCTCAGAAAGAACACGGGGTTTTCAAGGCAGGCGAAACGACCAAAAACATCCAAAAACCAACTGCCAGAGAGGAACCCATGACACGACCAACAAGGGAGGACAGAGGATACAGATTTCTTGGTCACCAAAAGTCACGAGAGTCGCAGTCGACGACGTGCTGGCACAAACGGCAGACACCTAACGAGGCACAGACCCAAAGGTATCCAAAGAAGATGCCGGAAGAAGCGGTGCTTTTTCTACGCATGATGGCTCGAGCCCGAGAGGTCTTTTTTTTGGTCACTGTCTACTGGTAGAGTCTACAGCACACCAGTTGAACAAACAGTTTCAGTGAAAAACACACCAGCACCAGTTGAAAAAAAACATCATTAATTGAGTTGGGTTTTGCTGTTCTGCTGCAGTTGCTGGTGCGTGGGCTATGCTCCCAACTGGATGCTGAACTGTCAGGGACTTGGATGCTCTCGGATGCCATTCGACTTGCCGCCGGGACTTCCCAACGACACTAGTGATGACAGTGATGGATCCCCCTTCTCAGGACCTTCATGGGGTGTCCAACGGAGGTCCCTTAGTGGTGTAGGGGCTTCCATTGGTGACCCCTTTGAAGGTGCTGGTATGTGCTGGTATAGAAACATGCTCCAAAAAACGGTTCAACCATGTTGTTCCCAGCTCTCAGATCTCCAGATCCGCGCTCCAGCGAGTCCGCCTTGACGGAGTCCAGGCGCCGAGTCGCGCTTCACTGAGGCCTTTCCTTCAACTTTTTGAACAACACGCCCGAAGGGCCTTGGTTTCTTGGCCGACGCGTGGAGCTTCTGCGGCGTTGCTTCTGTGGTTGCGCCAACAAACTCTGAAGATCATGCAACCAGAGACGAGGCGTTTCCTTCCTTTTTATGAAGTTCTATGGTTCATTATGGTTCTAAGTTTGACGTTTGAATCACTTTTGCCATTTTGTTTTGCTTCTTGTTGCTCGTCCTTCTACTCAGGTTTGCAAATTCCCTACTGTCAAGCGTGCGATCCGTGCACTGCCACTTGAGGATGATGACAGGCAGGGTCGTCTTTGAGAACAACCTTGATAGCTGTGCGTTTAATGGCTCGCCGCCCATGAGTTCTTACCTTGCTTACAACTGATCCTGACGGTTTGGATTCTGAATGAGCATGTGTGTGTGTGTGTGTCCCACCCTGGACAAAGGGTTTCACCCTACCACTTTCACACAGGCAGGGGGATGGAGAGGACACGTGAGGCTCCATCCAACGAAGCTCCTCACGTGCTCCTAGGATATCATCAGGGACGCCTGATGACGTACCTGCGCCGTGACACTACTCCACTCTTCCTTGCTGTGTTTTGATGCCATGGTTGTTTGATCACGATACTCTCCCCTCAAACAGGTTTCCCACCGCAGTGTGCTTTGCAGCTAGCCGCGCGAGTGAAACATTTTTCAACAATTCAAGTCTTTGGACCTTTTCGCCTTGCTGTTCCATCACCTTCCTTCTCACCGAGACAATTGCATTAACTGAAAACCCAAGTTCGAAGTGTGTCCTGCTCAGCCGTCCCACTCGGGTGCTGAGTGTGATCCCCTTCCCAGGGGCGCTGTTCTTGCATGGGAAAGCAACCACCCCAACGCTCCACTACTCACTGGAACATCACAGGAAGGCACCGACACCCTCACAGAATCAACCGCCACACTGGCCGCCGGGCCAAAAAACGGTTCTTGAAGAATCCTTCAGATTCCGAACTTCTGCTCTCAGATTTCAGCATTCAGTTTTCTTTTCATGTTTTCCAATCATGTGCGGGGTTCCCTGTTCGCTATGTTGCTGCCGCGATTGACAGAACTCAAGGATGAGCATTACGACTTTTCAGCTTAATTCGAGATGCATGAACACACACCTACTAACAAGCTTACATTTAACACCACCTTACAACATACTCACCACTGACACCAGAGATGACACATTCAACAACAATGACCAACCACAAGACAATACAACTCGGCACCTCTCCGCTGCTTTTTGCTGCCGCACCGCGCCGCGCCATAGCTACGACCACGACATGCAGTTTCCGTGGCCCTACGCTCACACCACGCCACCACCATTACCTACCACACAACCTCAACCCACATGGCCGATGCCACAAACATCACCTGCGCCCACTTTTCCCTCGACACAACCATCGGCATACCCTCACCCACAACCACAACCTTTTCAACCACCACCGTTGTTGCCCACCCCTACCGCCACTGCACTGACTTACGGCACACCATCCACTTGGACTTTTGTCCACCCATGTCACGTGCCACCGCAACCTACACATCCAACTCCAGTGTTTCCGACAGCAGCACCTCCCCCGTCCTACCTGTTGCCACCACCTCAACCCACGCCGCCGGCGGAACTTCCTCCCCCCACTACACTGACACATCCCCCTCCAACACAGCAACAGCCTGCGACTGCCAATTATCCATCCACAGACCCCCAATACGCCATCCCCCAGGGCGTTTGGCAACCATATTCAGTTTTTCCCCCCCGTCACACAGCCTTCACTCCAACCGGGGCCCCCGCCACCGCCTCCACAAACTATCAATGCCTCAACACCAACCCAACCTCCATTTCAACAGCAGCTACCATCGGATCCAGCACCACCGATCCAACCCATCCCCACGACTGCCCAGGACAATCCACTACCAGTCCAAAATACACCTCCACCAGCCACCGTATCCCAACATTCAGCGTCCCCCTCGCTGGTATCTACCATACCAGCACCTGGAACTTCACTACCAGCACCAGACAAACTTAACACCACTGCCTCACCAGCACCGCAACCACCTTCCCCGCCACCACCACACAGCAGTCGCCGTCACCGCCACAAGAGCCGACGCAAGTCCGACCATCACCACAGAGGACGCCACCGCCACCGCCGCCGACATCGCCATCACCGCCATTCCAAACACCATAGCACAACCCGGCGACGGCGGTCGCCTTCAACATCCACCTACACATCTAGCCTCACACCATCCCGCAGTCGGTCACCACCACAACCCATTGATCTACGCCCAAACACCGAACACACCAACCCTGACCCCTCACAATATCCCACCACAGCCGCCATTCGTCGCCCACTCAACCGTTGGCGACCTCCACCCAACTTTCACACCTTCACACCTGCAGACCAAATTCTGGAATGGCTCGAATTCCACGCCACCCAACTCGACAACCCCAACCGACCACACCACCAGTACATTGCCAATATCCTCACAGACTGCAACATCACCTACAAGGAGATCACCGATTTCCGACAATATACCCACGCTAAGTGGAATGACACAACTCACCAATACGACCAATTCCAGTACTATGCCATTTCACTTCCCTTCCTCAACACCAAAGCCACTACACCAGAGCCACCTGCGGTTTCCCGCGCCACATCAACCCACCGGGAAGTCGCCCACATCAACGCAGGCCACACAGGCCCCGTCGGCAACATTTCCAACATTCTACGCCAAGGCCGGTTTTTACCCAGCACACTCCACTTTGCCAACTACCCTGGATTTTTTGCCCAGGGCGTTCGCATCACCCACAACCAACCCCATGACCACAACGAGCTTGCTCGCATCATCCACAATACCTGGCAACTCCACAAGAATTCCCATTCCCTTATCATCACACTCCTTGCTTGGGGTGCTGCCACAAAGTATACCTCTGGAGGTGAGGAACACGCCATGAACCTCCTTAACGACCACCATGGTGCAGTCTTTCATCAGAAAGGCCGCTGCTGGGTGATCCACCCGGACCACGCCATTGTCAAAGGACTGGCCTGGTCCACCAACTCCACTCCACCGGACCCATAATGCCACTACCACACATCCACACGCCACTACCACCTCCACATCAACTTTTGGTTTCACACCACCACCTAACTTTTGCTGTAGCAGCAAAAAAGAGCCTCCTGCAGCAGCCACGGACATTTTGAACCCTCCTTTTTCTAGCTTCGTAGTGTTTGCTGAGACCTTTTGATTTGTATCGGCTGTTGTGAAGGAGTCTTTCACATGTCAGATTCTGCATCGTGGAGAGTGATTCATCTAGTCATGTACTCAATTGTCCAACCAGCATTGCATACTCGCACTTTTGCCTGTGGGAATTTGATGCTCGCTTAATTCATATGCATGGCCTCGAAATGACGTGCTCCCTCAGACTCGCCGCTTTCCGGCTGCTTTGGCGCGCTGCCGCAGCAACCTGTGACGATTCTTGACTACTGCACACCCCTACATCTCAGACCCATGAGCGGCACGCTGACACCTCTACAAAACGACACCTCAACTCTCCTACACAAAACCGCAGTGGCACTTTCGCAGGTACACAACCTGCTTCGACAAGCCACAGATATTGTAGCACACCTCCACACAGCTTTTCTCCACCACAGCCACCAAGCAGACCCCACTTTCCGCCAACACTTTCAGCCACTTCCAACTCCACCCCATCACCCCATACGTTTACCATCCACCACCTCATCCTGTGACTCAGCACCATCCAGACCACCCATCCGTTTACCCGCACCACTCTTACAAGACTCAGACGACACTCCAACAACACCCCCAGATCCACAACCCACCACAACACGCAAGCGGAAGCAACCACCCCCACCATCACTGAACCAACATGCCGATTGGGACGCTTGGGACGGCGACGCTGACTGTCGCCTTATCGAACTCAAGGAAAACCCAAAACTTCGTCCCAACTGGACTACTGTTGCCCGCCGAGTGGGTTTCTCCGTTGCACAATGCCAAGCCCGATGGCAAGAACTCAAAGACATGCAACGACAGCAAGACCAGCAACTTTTCTCCACATCACTACCCACTGCACCACCAAGACAAGCACCTTCCCCCTCACCAACACCCACATCACCAGCAGTTTCCCCAGCACCACATTCACAACCAGACTTCTCCCCTTCCCCCACCACAACACCACCGACTTCACAATATCCAACGACTCCTGCTGCTGCGCTGCTGCCGCCGGCTGCTGAGCAACCGCTTAGTGAGGACAGTCGTCCGGAGAAATCTCCACTCACGCCAGTTGGCAGTTATTTCATTTGATCCGTTTCACCCACCTTCCTTACGGCGTGCCGCGTGACAAATCCACTGACACGCATAGTCTTTTTGTTCTTCAACTCAGCTATGCAACAGAAAATCTTTTCACATTCACACTGCCTACTGGTTTTCCCTCTTGCTTGCCACCTTTTGTCCGCAGCCATTTGACCGAACAGTTTCTTCATAAACGTGCGCCCTTCCTACGACATGATGCCTCCCGATGACCTACGAACTCCACAACCTCCTTACTCAGCGACCACTACAATTTCCCCTGGCCCACCCACTTTACACCACAACTACTCTTTACCGAGCAATCCCATGCCATACTTGGCTCCATCCGTGACACACCAACCTGAACTACTCCTGCTCCACTGGATGATCAATACCATATCCTCACTTATCGAGGATCTCCAACATCACCCCATAGTGCGAGATCCCATCCCCCCAATGTCTACTTTCACCAATACACCAGCTTACAGCCTTTTTCTACAGACACGCAACACATTGCGACATTTGATCAACACAGCCCACGACGCCCGCCGTGGACTCAACAAGCTACAATTCATTCCTGGCTCACCAGGCTCCCCTGGCCACTACCGCATTGATCCCACCCTCGACATCCCACCACAGCAAACCAACCTCCTCTCCGGACCCACCTCGCAACGCAACCCAGCCACACCATCACCCACCAACACGCCACCGCTCCTCCACCGGTTCAGTGGCAGAGACAGGTCTCGTTCTCGAGACCGGCTTCCCCTCACCACACTCTCACAGCCAAACCACACAACCTCAGGACACCAGATCATCCCCGACCGACCTTCCGCAGCTCCCGGCCACCGCGGACACCTGCACCAAGCACTCTGGACGGCCTCCACCTCCAGCTCCACTTCCTCGGCAGCTTGCCACCTACTTGCTGACACACCATCTTCCTCCCCCTGAGGCGTCGGGTAACGTTTAGTCTCACACATTA